TTTTGTCTTTCTTCATTATTCAGTTTCTCCTCTCTCTATATCTTCCTTCTCTTTCTGTTCCCTGAATACCTGGCGTTGTATACCTCTATGCCTTCCAGCCAGGCTGTACTGCAACACTTGAGAACAACTTCCCCAGACCTCATAGCCGCACTGGTGGGATCACTGGGAACTTCGCTGTTCTTTTCCCTTTCTGATTTTTATTTATTCATTCTTTTCTTTTTTTTCTTCCTCTTCCCCTTTTTGTTTTTCTCCATTTCATAGTCTCTCATCTCTCCACTACAACGGCAATCTCCCCTACCATTGTTTTATGTTTGTTTGTATGTTTTTGGCCCCTGCTGCTCTCTCCGCACTCCTCTCTCCCATATCCATCTTAGCTCCACACATAACAGTCTCCCCGCTACATCCTGCCTACCTGCACCATGTGCTTAACATCACACCACCAAGCAGCACAGGCACAGCCTACTGGAACCTGCCCTGCACTGGTTACTGACCCACCCTGGTAGCTGTAGTAAGTGACACAAACAACCCGTCCCAGTAACTCCTCTTCAACTAGACCTGCCCTGCCATACCATATCTGAGTGACTGACCCTGCCAATTGGAGAAAGAGGTGGAAAGTATTGTGCCCACAGACAAGCAAACAACAAAGAACACACAGCCCACTTGCTCAGACATAGCCAAATTTTTTTTAAAAAAAGGGATGAAACAAACAAATCTACGATCAATAAACGAGAAAAATAACTACTGCACCCCCCTAAGACAGCAGACAATATCAAAACATTTACAAAAACATGACAGGATGGTTCCAGTAGGCATCGAAAATAAAACACCAGATAACTCTCCTGTGGAAGAAAATGCACTAGAACTACCTGACAGGGAATTCAAATCTCTAATACTCAGAATTCTCCAAGAGCTGAAACAAAAAGGAGACAAAAATGAGGAAAAAATAGGCAAATTCATGGAAAATACAGACAAAAAATTCGAAGAATTCAGGAAAATACTGCAGGAACAAAATGCCAAAATAAATTCACAACTAGAAATTATACAAAAACAATTAGAAATCCAAAAGATAAACATCAAGATTTCAGAAATGGACAGTGTCATAGAAGGGCTGAGAAGCAGATTTGAAATGGTGGAAGACAGGATCAGTGGAATTGAAGACAAACACTTGCAGACAACTCTGTTTGAGGAAAACT